ATCATGAAACTTGTCCTTGATAGTGCACTAAGTGCCCAAAATAAGACTTTCTGTTGAACAGTTAACTCCTAGGAAGTATAAGAAACATTTTTTCTCAATGAGAAAAGTTAAAACTGTGTGTTTATAATGTAAAGAGGAAAAGAACTGAGTGAAAAGAGTGAAGAGGATAAGTCATTTAGTCATTTATCCAGAAGTCACTGCAGGGAATACTACCATCTGAACGTAGCTGAGGCCATCAAACTTTCAGTAAGATGCAGTTCTCACCTTCTAGGAGCTCAAGTTAGGATGAGGCTGTACAAGACAAGGGAAGTAGTCAGAAGGCATTGGGTTGCCCCTGGCTGGAGAAACAGAAAATAAAAAAATCACAAAAGACATGACATTTCTGAAGAGCTTAGGAGATGTACAGGAGTAACAAAACCTGTGGGTTTTTTAAAGAAAGAAACTTGAGAAGGAAACTCCTTATCAAATAATAAGCTGCGAACAGATGAGGACATAGCAGGGTAGGAAAAAAAACAGACTTGGAAGGTATTTGGTAGGTAGACTCAAGGACTTGACAGGTCTGAGGGAGAGAGGGGTTACACTTGCCTTTCATTCGGCAGGTGTATGAAATCTAAGCCATCAGATGCTGAAATGATGAGATGGGCGGGGGAGGGACACTGCAGCAGAGGGAGTGGTGATGTGACACTTGGGCAATGATGTAAAAGCGAAGTGAAGCTCTGGTTACAAATGGAAGATGCTGCCACCATCAAAACTAGACCGAGAGGAGAATGCTCAATGCCATCAATGGATGGGAGGGCAGCTGGTGTATGGGGCTGGAGCTGAGAAGAATGAAACAGGGCAGAGGATGGAACTCCTGGGAGCTCCTATAAAGGAACGTTGTGCTTATTCATCTGGCAGTGGGTTCTCAGCAGATTTTAAGCCAAGAAGTGATGAGACCTGACTGCCATGTGGAGGGTGCCTTATCACAGGGTGCCTGTCATCAGTGCAGACTGGGGAGGGTCACCTGAGATTCAGGCGGTCTGACGAAGGGACACATGGTCATGGAAACATCTGAACACGCTTTTATGCTCAAGAGCCATTCAGCCACTCACCTTTGTGATTGTCCTTGGGCCCCTGGGCTGCCCGTTCTCACAGCCACGCACGGCCACGCTTGGCCCCTTAGTACATTTACACCAAAACACACAATAGTGGCTAAGGGCCAGGAACAACCCTGGTTATAGAAGTTATTCATGCCAGTCAGCACAGACCTTGGTTATATCAGTTGTTTACACTGAGACTGGCGAGGTGTGCCAGCTCTGAAAATCTTGCCAACTTGGACTTAATTCCACCAGAAATCATAGCCCAAACAGCGCGAACCAGTGTAGATATCCCAGGCGTCCTTTTTCCCCCACACAGAGGAAGAATGGACACAGTGTCCTGGTAAAACTCATGGCTTACATTGCTCTAAAAGTAATGATGTCACAAAGCAGATTCCAGATACAGAGGTTGAAACGGCAAGACTTGCCAATGGGCTGAATGTGGACTGTGAGAAAAGAGGAGCCAAGGGTGACCCAAAAGTTTCAATTCATAGCCACCAGATAAAGAGTGGTGACATTCAACAGAGTTAAAAACTTGGACAGAAAGACACTTGAGAGTGGTGGGGTCAAGAATCAACAGTTCTGTGGCCAAATAAAGAACAAAACGTTTACACACTTGTATGTGATGCAGGCAACTGGACATACAGTATAGAATTTAGGAGAGATGTTTGGGCAGAGAAATACTAGAGCGAGCATGAGCCTGGTTTTGGTTTACATCTGGATGAATCCCCGGGGCCTCCTGCACTCCAGGGCGGTGCTGGCGACAGTGATCAGACAACAGGGCACCGTGGCTGGCTCGGAGTGAGGAGGTGGCTTCTGGTGGGAGAAGCCAGGTCACTGGATGGGATGTGGGAGGGAACACCTTCCTCACTGGCTCTGCCACTTTGCATCCTGCTTCCTGGCTGCCAAGAGGGGTGCAGCCTTCCACCAGCCCTCCTGCCACCATGCTGCGGCTGTCTGGAGCTGCTGACTACACAAGGAGTGAAATTCGCCAGGAACCAGCTGAGCAAGCACAGACTGAAACTTCTAACGCATGAACCAAAATAATCCTCTCCTCCTTTAACTTGTGGGTATCAGGTATTTGGTCCCGGTCAGCAGGAAAGTAACTAAGACAAACCTCTACCCAGAATCTAAAGCCATGACACTGGCTAAGTCTCCGACTGTATCAGTGTATGTGGGGACACAGTGCTCAGCAAGGTTTTGGTTCTTGTATTTTGAGAGAAATAATAAATTCCACTTTAGATACTTATGGTAAAAATAAATGATTCTACAGCAATTAACCACTAGAAAGAATGTATGCAATGTGTTAATTATTGAAACTGTCCTACCAATTTGATTTGAAACTCTCTCATTGCTATTTGTTTCTCAATAAAATTATGAAAAAAATAAATGATTATTTGGATGTTCTGTGGCAAAATAGTCTCCTGAAGTATTTTATTATTATCTTCTTGCATTGTGATTCATACTTATAGTACCCTTTACAGTGTTTGTTTCTTCTCTTTTAGTCAGCAGGCTCTGTTGTGGTGGCAGACACTGTCCTCCCAAGCCCAGAAGCTACCCAAAGAACACTTCTGAATGTGGAATTCTTTTTATCAATGAATCAACTTTGAAAAAAAGAGCTGCAGCCTGTAGACACATTCAATGACTCACATAAATGCTATGGTCTAAATGTTTGTACGCCTACCCCAGTTGCACATGTTGAAATCAACTCCTCAAGATGGTGGTATTAAGAGGAGTGGCCTTTGGGAGGGGACTAGTCAAAAGTATGGAATCCCGTGAGTGGAATGAGCTTCCTCAGAAGGGGCTAAAGAGACAGAGCACCTTCTACATGCAGACCCAAGAAGGTGAAAACCAAAAGCAAGCCCTTCCCGAACACCAAACTTGCTGGCACCTTGATCCTGGACTTTCCCTCCTCCAGAACTTAGAGAAATAAACTGTTGATAGTCACCAGGTATTTGGCATTTTGTAATCGCAGCCTGAAGACACTGAGCAATTAAAAACAAGTAGTCGTGGATGACTGCTGAACCTAGTGTTTATTTCCAAAATACATTGGTCTTTCTTTTCTATCAAAGATGCCACTCATGGTTGGCATTCCCTAAATGTTTGAATAGATAAAAGAGATCAAGTCCTGGATACCTAGGCCAGGAATTTTTCTTCTTGCTTGGGTCTGTTTCTTTCATCACTACCTACTCAGTTCTCCTACATGGCCTTAAGCAGTCACAGCTTAACAAATGTTTGTTGTACATGTGAATAAAAGAATGAACGTAGTTTTGTAAGAAAGGCAATTTTCTTCCCTTTTAGGAATTTACTTCATATATCATGACTTTAACTTTCTTCCCTAATTGTAAGACATTTGCTCTCTGTGAAAAATACGAACATAAAAGGAAAAATCCTAAAGTTACTGCTACCTATATAACTCATGATTGTAATTATCCATTTAACAAATCTTTTACATAGCCTACTTTGTGCTAGGCATTGAGCATACCACGGAGAATCAAATAGGCTAGGCACTTAATTTATCCTCTTATGCTATAAATATGCAAGTAGAGTATAAACAGAGGTATATCACCTGTACAGTTTCAAAACTCATGCATATCCTTGTACCATAATACTCAATATTCCCTTACATCTTAAAAGTGATTATTTTAGTGATTAAATAATGTTAATATATTTCTACGTAATATGTAAAAGTCTCCAGCCCGAGTACAAACTGCTAAATTATTACGGCCCTGATTCAACATGGCTGAATCCCAAAAGAAAAGCAACTTATCTTCCCAGGGACCACCTCCTGCTTCATCCCCAGCCCTGAACACAGCGCCCTTCTACTTTTCCCATGCCACAAGGGAGACCTCAATCTGCTCCTCACATGTCACTGAAACTACCCCTCAAACTCCCCCCTAACGAAAGTCCCTAAAATCTCAGCCTTCCTTTGTCTCAGGTCAGAGGGTCCCTGCCATCTCCCTGCAATGACCTCCTTGTACTCAGAGAGCACCCCACTTCTTTTACTTCTGCTTTTCTGCCATGCCACAAAAACCTAACAGTCTCCTAAGTACATTTTCTTTTCTTTATTTTTTGAGACAGGCTCTCACAGACATAGCTCAGGCTGGCCTGGAACTCCAGGATCCTCCTGCCTCAGCCTCCCTCACCCTGGGATTACAGCCCAGAACTACCATGAGCAGTTCACCTAATTACATTGTCAAGTGTCTTCAAGGAGAAAACAGTTTGCTTATGTACAAGGAACAAATACTCTAGCCTTTGCACAGAGCACTTTGCAAAAGTATAGTCTGATGTTAGAAACAGTAAACTAACTACTTGTGAATAGCTTATTTTCAAGCCTTTTCTATGGTTTCACGTAGGGTCTATTTAAGATGTACTATGAAATAATCAATTAAAAATAACTCTGATGCTTTAACTTGAGGCTTTATTCCTTAAAAGGCTCTATCACCTCCTCCCCCTTTAACCAGAAGCTTCCATTTCCAGCACTAGGAAAATCTCAGCAGGTATGAAGTCACCTCTCCCTATACTGAGATCTGCTGACATGGAGCAGATCACTTTTTCTTGGTTTCTGGGCACCTGTCTTTACAAGGACTGAAAATGTTATTTATCCTCAGAGGACTATGGAACCTTTTTTTCTTTTAATGTATTCAGTACAGGGTCTGTCTACACAGCTGCAACTCTAGAGATCCTCCTGTTTTTAGCATTCCCAGTGCTGGGATTACAGGCATGCGCCACCACACCTGGGTTTTGGTGGCTCAGCGTCCTGGGGCAGGGCTGGTGCTGTGGTGCCAGGGATCGAACCCTGGTTCCTGTCCTTGCTAAGAAAGAGCTTAGTCCACTGAGCTATCTAGCAGGCCCTAGGAACATGCAACCTTGATGTCCTGTTCTGTTTCCCCCCAAGTGGACTCTTAACTGGGTTTAACTTACCTCCGAAGGCTGGCTGCTATCTACTTCTGAAGTTTTATCTTCTGACTCATTTGCTTTATCTCCTACAAAGCAAAAAGACAGAAACTTAAGCATAGAATGAAGACTGAATTATCTTTTGTTATTTTGAACCAGTTTTTATTCCTATGCTCATATCATGAAAATCACCATTATTTCCTTTGTTATAAAGCAAAGAAGTTTTTAAGAATATTAACTTTATGCAGGCCTTATAAATCATCCATAAACACACAACCAACACCAGAGGTGTATCCTGCTTTATATAGGCTTATTCAAGGAAAATGAAATGAATTCATATCTTTAGATCAGTTTCAAATGAACTAAGAAAGCTTATGACTTAAAGAGAATAAGGCAAATTATTTTAAAATACCAATTCTTTATGATATGAATAACGATCTTCCAAGTTAGTTTTTCATATGGTTTATTCTTTGTAAGTATTTATAGATCAGTGGAATTTCCTTGGAGTAGATGCGTACTGTATATTCTATGTAATAACTAACCAAATACCACAATATCTTTACTGTAGGAAAGAACAACAGACAGCTGCATAAATAATCTTCAGTTAGTACTCTGATTCTAAAGCTGGTGGTTTAGTCACCAACTTGTGACTAAAGCTGACTTGAAAGACAGAAGACACAAACATAATCGGGCAAGTATCAGCATAACTAACTTACTAATGGCCTACTTTATTAATTATCACGAATGGTTGGTGATTAACGTATGACAGCCAGCCGATTAGTCCACCTTTTGAAACATAAGCAGAGGCTGATTTGGCAATATGTAAATTCTCTTCCCACACAATTGAGCCCGCTTAGAAATGTCCACAACAGGCCGGACTACCACACTCACACGTGACGGTCCGTCTGACAGGCACAGTTAGGAATCTGTTAATCTAAGGAGGGTCACAAGTCCAAATTCAAGTCGGAAAATCTTGGCTGAAGTTAACTTTTCCATGTGATAGACAAAAGGACCTAAACTTGCCGATGTATTTCAGTTGATCCACTTTATTGTAAATTGTGAACAGTGTTACCACTGTCGGGCATCGCACGGCATATTGTGAGTGTTCAATAAATATAAGTTGAACGAACTGGTGAACTTCTCTTTGTAGCTCCTCACTTACAAATGTGTGACTAAAGATTTAATGATACGTAATAAAAACCATACTTCAGAATACATTAATGTCTTTCTTCTACAACTGAATTGTGAAACTTAAAAGGGCAAATTTATCAAATACCACTTTGATGTTCAGTTAATAGAGATACATAATTGCGCAAATTTATTATATCTTAAAAATTAATTTTTTCAAAAATCGTACTGAAGGAAAACCATTAGCAACCTCAGGATTATGTCTAAAAAATTAATTTTTGCTAAGTAAAAAGTTAAATTAACCTACTCTGCTGGGCTGGAATGTCAGACAACTATTTTGATTGAATTTAAGAGACTTAGATTGACCGTTTATTGGCACATCCAGAAGATCTTTTCTTTTTTTTCAAAGAAATCCCCTTCTCTTTGAAAATTAGGGATATAATGATCAACCCCTAGTTTATAGGTTAAGAAACCAGCACAAGGATCTTACTTTCATTAGTTACAGACCACATGAACAGCCAAGGTAGAATACATCCCTACGATGAGGTTGGTGCATGCTGTGGACAGAACCCAAGGCCCATAGGTGTGGTGAGTGCGCAGAACCCGCGAGGAAAATTCATTTGTTCCAGACAGTCAATTCATCTTTTAAAACGATTAGTATTCTACCCATATAACTACACAAATGCTGTATTTGTCTAGAATCACCCAGCACAGAGTCCACACTTGGACATTTTCTAATTTCAAGGTGCGTATCTACCCAAAATTTTTCCATTTCTCCCTACTGCTTTAAAAATCAGACCAGTCTTCAGCCAGTGTTCCTGACACCCCACACCTTGTCTGCCTGGAGGTGACTGCCCACTCGCTGTTCACTGACACGCTGTCTAGTAATGACTCAGGACAATGACCATAAGGAAAATTCCATTGGCAAGATTCTTCTCTAATGACAAAGGAACAGAGCAAAAGCTAAACAAATGACATAACCAGATTACAATGAAATATAATTTTGGAATGTTTTTCTACTGAATTATTTTTCAGGCTAAAATTCAGGTTATTTTTTCTTAATTTTTACAAAATGTTTATTCTCTTAAATCCAATGTATACAAGGGTGTTAACATTTTAAAGTTTATCATTTCCACCAACTGTTGCATGGTCTTTATTTTTTTTTTTCTTTCTTTTTAGAGACAGGGTCTTGCTGTAGTTCAAGCAGGCCTGGAACTCACTAGGCAGTCCAGACTGGCCATGAACTCATGGCAATCCTCTTGCCTCAGCCTCCAAGTGCTGGCATTACAGGTATGCGCCATAGCACATGGCTTGCAGCATTCTAGAACTAAACCAAAATCACTTTTATCATATGTGTAACCAATGACCATTAATTCTTTTTTTAAAGGACTTAAGCTCTAAAATATTAGCACAGGTAGTTTTATTGTACATTTCACCTAGCAGATGATTTTTAAAACATGTGTAGAAATAATAGTTTCAAACTATGTAAATATAAAATGTCATGTTATCAATGTATTCAATCAAAAGCAATTGCCAAGTCCAGTGCCTTACCAAGAAATAACAATTCCGGATTGGACAGAAATGTACAGTGCTGTCAAAGCCCTTAACAGCTACCCACTAGCCCCGCTGTTCAAAGTGTAACTTACAATTGGAAGATGGGTGTCCTGGGAATATAATTTTACCCTCCTTTTAGATTCAGTTTAATATAAACTGAATAATACATATATATATATATATATATTATATATTTATATAAATATATAAACTGGCTAATATAACTACTTAGCCATTTATATTCTAAGTCACAGGGTACTTCCCAGCATTCACAACATCAGTTTCAGTTTGTACACATCTAAGTTACTAACACAAAGGATAGTTCTGCAACAAACCATTCCTAAAAGAAAAAAAATAAAATCACACCCTACACAAAACTCTAAACATAGCATGACTTAAAACAGATTAATGCACTGTGATTTTTAATATTTTAGTCATTTTCTAAATACTAGCATGTAAACTTATCTGGGTAATCTATGACAACTACAGCTTTACTTGCTGGGAAATTATGTACTGATTTCCTTGCATCCTCTTTCTATTTTTCATAAAACTCTGACTGGCTTTTTCTGATTCAATAAATTTCAAACTTTTTTTTTTTGGTGGAGAAGGGGACTGAAGGAAGGCAATAAACTGTGAACAGAAAAACGTTTTCAAATTCATCCTTTAAAATTTTTCTCGGTATTCTGCGCAGCCTGAGCCTGTGTGGATATGGCTTGCACCGCTGCCCCCTCCCCAGCTGACCAAGACAGGTTTATTTGTGTCTACCCCGCTTATTTAAATAATAAGAAAACCAGCGCAGAGGGGAGGTGGATCCCAATAAGTAGGCTGTTGAAAATCCTACAGCCACCGAGATTCAAGATGTATGCTCAGCAGCTGGACTTAATGCAGTTATAGAGAAAAATAAGACGTCCTCTGGGGAATGGAATCGTGATGTTCAATACAGAGGCCGAGTTCGAGTCCAGCTGAAGCAGGAAGGTGGCAGCCTCCGTCTGGGGCAGTTCCCATCACGCAAGTCAGTAATGTTGTACGCAGCAGAAATGATGCCTAAGCTAAAAGCCAGAAGACAGAAGACAGGAGGTGGTGACCCAAATCTTCAGCGAGGAGAGGGAAGCAAAAAAGGAAAAGGGAAGAAGTGCTCGGCTGTGGGCATCAAGGGAGCGACCCTTCCGCGGGGACACGGGGGAGCATTTCATCACTTTTCCTTTGCATCGATCGCCAGCACTACATATTTGTGCCATCTTCATCATCAGAGGTGACCATAAAATGAGTCCATCACAGTGGAACGCAGTGGAAATTTACATCCAGCTTTTATGCAATATAAAAGAAAGATATTTCTTTCGATGAAGAGTTTTTGTGGAAAAGTATTTTTAAATGGACGGTGGACTTCCAGAAGTTACTGGAAATCAATCTGTCCTCTGTGTAAGCATGTATTTCAGATAAATAAGTTTAGTACGATTTGAAATACACATTTTGTTCACCTTTTAAGTTAAATAAAATTTTAAACTGCAAAATAAATAAATAAAATAAAATAAAAATTTTCAATATGACTAAACTTTAGGCAAACTCAGTCAGGCACAGGATACCCTGGTTCAATCCCAAGCTCCACATGCCTTAATAGACCCGCCTTTAAGGCAGCCTGAGCCAGCCAAAAAAAAAGGACTAAAATTTAAAAAATTACAAATTACTAAAGGAGTAGCCTACTAATCTGTGACCTAAATTTCTAAGTATAAAAACAGAAGAATAAAACACTTCAACATTCAATTCTGAAATGTAGGACAATTACCTAAAGTGACTACACTGTTTACGGCACAACCAGGGATTGAACTCAGTCCCTTGCACTTGCCAGGGAAGTGCTTATTCTACTGAGCCAACTCCCTGGTCCCTTTCTTTTTTTTGGTGGAACCAGGGATTGAACTCAGGGCCTTGCACTTGCCAGGCAAGCGCCTATTCTACTGAGCTATCTCCCTGGCCCCAACTACACTGTTTAAAGCAGTCAGAAACACAATTCAGAAGGAGGTTGATTATTTTTCTTTTGGGGATAGGTAGTCAAAAAAAGAGTGACAAATGAAGAGACAAAACATTCTGTTTTCTATTTTAGGGGGTAATTACCAGATAGCTTAAGTTTTTGAAATCCATGCGACCTATTCAGATTGAAGATGACATTTTAAATTTTTTTGAATAACCCCATTTTTTCCTTGCGTGTCCAATCGATTAGCAATCACACCTTCAGGGACCACCTGTGCTTTAGCAGCTTGGTGAGTGCAGCATTAGGAAGGTCAAAATGACAAATTAAATTTCAAACTAGAAACACAAATCTACTCAATTGTTACATTCAGTTTTAGAATCATTTGCTCCCATGACAACAGACTGGCTGACGTCACTCTTGAACAGGCTCCCACCCACAGTA